GCGCATCGCTGTGTGCAGTGAATAACGATACCATCTAATAATGCGCAATTTTGCGTGTTTTAATCAAGCTTATTTTAATCACTGGTCATTGATCACTTTGTCATGTTGGTGAAAAGAAGGCTGCCCGTATACACCTTCCAAAACGGAGGATGGTTACGCACCGGGCTTATATACCCTCCAAAACAGCGGGCGGTTACGCACCGGGCTCATACACCCTCAAAAATGGAGGGTGGCTACGTACCGGGCTTATACACCCTCCAAAAATCCTTCAGATGGTCGTATGTGTCAAGCATACGCGAATGCCAGGCTTAGAGGGAAGCAAGTGCAAACAAGCAGAATCCCGTATGAAAAGTCGGCTTTATGTGTGATGGCATCGAACGATCACAAAATCCATCAACTCACTATGAACCAGTCATATTCTGATCAATCGTTGCTCAGGGGCCTTCTACGTGGGTATCGGTCAACCTACTAACACACCTGAGATATGCCCATGGGTCTTGTACATTGGTCTAGGGCGTTTCCAATTCTCTGTCACTTGCTTAGGGCCCTACGCTCTTGTCGGGGCCCATCTGATAGCCTGCTTGGGCACACTCAGTCGTTCGGGGACCTTCCACACTGGTTTTTTTTTTTTGGTACTTCTGTTTTGAATGGGGGCCTACGCTTTTGTGGGGGGGGGGGCTACCTAATAACCTGCTCGGGCACATTTGATCGTTCGGGGCCTATGTTGGGCCTTGGACACGTGCTATTTGAATGGGCCCTACGCACTTGTTGGGGGCCCCCTTTGTTCGCCTCCCCGGCCACATTGGATTGCTGGTGGGCCCTGCACATTGGTTCTTGGTGTTTGAATTTAGGGCCCTCTGCCCCTACCGGGGTCGTCTGATAAGCTGTTCGGGTACACTCCATCTACCAGGGCCCTCCGCACGGGGTTTTAGGTACTTCCTAATTGAATGGAGGGCCTTAAGCTCCTGTCGGAGCCCCCATCTGATAAGATGCTTGGGCCCATTCGATCGTGGGATACCTCTTCGTCTGGTTTCGGGTATTTCCTTTTCTAATGGAGTGCCCTCCGCTCTTTTAAGAGGCCCTATCTGTTCACCTGCTCTGGCGCACTCGGGGCCAGAGCAGGTTATTCGGGGCCCTCTACATCGTGCCGTGAGTAATTCATATCTTAACGGAAGGGCCTACGCTCTTGCCGGAGCCCCATCTGTCAACCTGTTCGGGCACACTGAATATCCGGGGCCCTCCACATTGTGTCTTGGGTACTTCCTATCTGAATGGAGGAGCCTACGCACTTGTCGGGGATCCCATCTGTTCGCCCCTTCGGCCACACTGGTTTGTTCGGGGCCCCATATACTGGGTCTTGGTGTTTAAATTTAGGGCCCTACTCACCTGGCTGGGTCACCTGATAATCTGCTCGGGTATAATCCATCTTTTGGGGGCCCTCCGCACTGGATTTTGGGCACTTCTTATTTGACTGAAGGGCTCTGCGCTCTTGTCGGGCTCCTTCTGATATGCTACTCGGGCACATTCCATCATTCTGGGGTCATTCATTTGGGATCTTCAGTGCTTCCCATTTGAATGCCTTCCTATCCGGTGCCTTACGCTCTTGTTGGGAGCCTCTACCTTGGGTCTTGCGTATTTCCTATTTGAAAGGAGGGCCCTACGCTTTTGACCGGGCCCTATATGCTTGCTTGCTCTGATACACTGGATCATTCGAGGGTCCTCTGCATTGGGTCTTGAATACTTCCTATTTGAATGGAGGATCCAACGCTCTTTTTGGGAGCCTTGTCTGTTACCCTGCTCGGGCACACTCGATCATACGGGGGCCTTCTACATTGGGTCTTGAATACTTCCTTTTTGAATGGAGGGCCCCAAACTCTTGACTGGGGCCTTATATGTTAACCTGTTCTGGCGCACTCGATCGTTCAGAGCCCTACACATTGCGTCGTGAGCATTTCTTATTTGAATGGATGATGCTATGTTCTTAGCGGGCCCCATTTATTCAGTTGCCCGGGCCGGTGGCGGATGCAGAGGGTGGGGGGGGGGGGGGGGAGGGGAGGGAGAGTCACAGGACCATGTCCCATCGACCATGCCGAGGGAACCTAAAGGCTCCGAAGGAGCCCATAACCCGTCAGACAGACGCAGTTTCCTTGCAACAAAAACACAACGAAATTGGATGCCTTTGGGCCTACAGATGACCAAGAACCCTTGCTAGCAAAAGTAAAGAGTTCATAAGTAAACGAAGGTCATTCCTCGCTGACTGGGAAAATGTTGCTTGGGGAAAATTTTGGGGCTCATTACGCTGTCTAGAGGCATTACGCTGTTGGCTGCCTGTCCCTATATGTCCACTTTCCGCGTCAATCTGATCGCTAAGGAGCTTTTCACGTTACCCTCGATCTCTTTCCATTTTTTCGTATGGCCCAATGTGCTGTTGGGAGGCCATCTGCCTCTATGCCTGCGCATTGTTGATCAATCGGGTTTTCCTCCACGGATTCTTCCCATTCGTCCGAAAGGCTGTATACACTTTTTCCGGGGTCGCATAAGCCAGAGTACAATCACTTGCTCAGTGGCCCTTCATATAAATTTCAGGTTCTTTCTTCCGGCTTGAAGGGCCTTGTGCTGTTGCTAGACCTCTAATAAGGTAAGGCACGGAGACACTCAATGCTCAGGGCCCTCCACTTTTGATCGAGGACTCTCTCCCTTTGGTCTCATTTGCGGCTGGCTTTTCACTCCTATGGAGACTCGTGTTGTTAATCTACCCGTGCACTCTTGATTGCGCAAGGGTATTAATTTATGGTCTTGAATAACTCCCCTTTGTTCGGAGGGTTCTGTGCTATGACCGGGGCTTCTTATGTCAGCCTGTCAACGCACTACCGATCGTTTAGGGGCCCACTACGTTGGCCCCCAGTTCTTTTTGCTTGCTCTGAGGGCCCTATTCTTGTTGACGGGAGCCACTCTGTTGGCCTCCTGCGGCACCTATGATCGTTCAGGTTCCGTCCCTATTGGCCTTGGTGCCGTCGCCTTTGAGCAGCAATCGAATACGCGCCGATGAATTTTTGCGCGCAATTTCCGAACGTAGTTCTGCATGCCGGCGCCGTCGTATGCGTCATTTCCACTGGCTATTCAGCGTGCCACACTCAGTTAGATTTACGGTCAACCTTCACGGGATCCTCAGTATCTTTGTAGGGTGCGGACTCCCTCCCCCTGGCATTGGAAACTATGGTACTGTCCGATATAAAAAGCCCAAGTTAAAATTCATCCCGCTTAGAAGTGGAGCGTGTTGACAGCATCGCGCCACGCCGATAGACCAGGTAACCGGATTACCGTCGGTAACCGTCGAGATTTGAACCCGGGCTACCCGCGTGCGAGACTAACACGGTAACCATCTACCCACTGGAGATGCGGACCCGGCGGTCGAAAAATCGTGATCAGAATAGAACTGGTTCAGAGTAAGTTGATGAATTTCGTGATCGCTTGATATCTATCACGCATAGAGCCGACTTTTCGCACGGGATTCTACATTCTTCCACTTGCTTCCCTCCAAGATTGCCAATCCGCGTATGCTTGACACGCACAACCATCTGAAAGATTTTTGGAGGGTGTAAAAGCCCGGTGTGTAACCGTCCTCTGTTTTGGAGGGTGCATAAGCCCGGTGCGTAACCGCCCTCCGTTTTGGAGGTCGTATACGCACTGCCTGAAAAGAAACGAAATATGGAATTTAAGTGGTTCACATAACATGACATGCCCATTGAACGGAAATTTACCCTCACATCAGGCAGCGCAACAATTCGAATATACGCATGCATGTGGCGTTCTTATTGAGAGCACGTGCATTTTGTACATCACACTTACAACAAACTCATCATCGCCGTTGTGTTTAGAGCGTATTTCTATGCATCCGATGGAAGCAGTTTGCTTCTAACTTCAATCCCACTCAGCCATTAGTCACTGTGTAATCTTCATTATGGGCTGTTGAACCCAATTGAGTATTGATAACTATGGTTGATTTAAGTTATCTCCTTGTTCACATTTGTTGATGCCATGACATAGTTAAAGTGAAAAGTGTGCTCAAAAAAGCGAAAATACGTCGCAAAATTCAGCCGACATTTTCGAGGGCCGCTCGCGATTCTAGCAAAAATCGTAGCGTAAACGTATGTGGGTGGAGGTCAATTTGACCCCGCCGATGGTTTTACCAGAATGATTTCCAAACATCGCAGCGCAGCGACGTCAGATTCTGCACTGCTGTAGGCAATGACCGTATATGTTCTTTTCGGTAGAAGTGGTGACGACTGAACATTTTTGGAGTATACGTTTTGTTGTGTAGCTCTAATGTCGCGTAGAAATTGACCTTGACATAGTATGCACATCTTCGCGGGCGTGTAACTCAGAAGCTGGATGGTTTTAGGCGCTACGAAAGACAGGGCTGTGAACTGCACCGAATGGTCTTCAAGGTGGCCATTTCAGTTCAAAACGTCACACAAATTTGCAACACTCCAACCGGCGGCGGAGCGGCGCCCGCTCACGTGGGTTCGGTGACGCCAGCGAGGCTCTCGAACAGCATATGACCTGATGTGTTTGGTCGCGTCTCGGTCTATGCATAGCGCAAGGCTTAGCCGATATTGGACGCCGCTGGGTCGTGCTGCCATACATGAAGCTCGTGTCTCGCCGCTGCCATAGTGCGAGCACGGGGCAGGGTGACTATGCATGACACGGCAGCTTCTTCAGCGTTGAGCCGAGCACACCATTGCAGCGTTGATGGTGCAGCTTCCTCCAGCCCTTCGTGCTCATTCGCTTTATTCAGCTCTGTGGTCAGCCCACCAACATTGCAAAAAAAGGTTGGACGCATCAGATTTTCAGACTTGAATGCTGGTTTTCTGTAGATGTGGTCGACTGACGCTGGCTCATTCGCTAATTTGTTTCACAAACTGCACCAGTGCAGACTGGGTGTCATGCACTGTGACATTACATCTGAACAGACATTGATCAGACTCAGAACAAAAACACGAGGTATAATATGTATTCCATCACCGATCTCCTTAAAATAGCAGCTATGCACGGCACAGGGCTGACAATACGTTCCATCGGCTGCTGCAGCCTGCCAACAGACAGCTAAGAATAGATATCGGTCATGAATTTACGGCAGTACACGACAGTGACCTATGAAATCGAGCCGTGAAAACATCTATCACCAACCGTGCCCACGGAGGGCCAATACACTGAAAAACAACTGACACCATCATCTCTGCAGCAACGAAACCACTCAAGCAACTAGGGCCTCTCCAGCAGTAACAGGAGCGACTGTGCACTGACCACCAGGCAGGGCGCTCAGCATCCACCAGATCCCGCGGGGACCTCCAGGCAACGTTAGTTCATGCAGCAGCCGCCAGGCGGCCAACATCGTGGAATGCGAGTTCATCAAGAGCTGCCGGCGATATTGTTCACTGGTGTGAAGCTTATTCTGGTGCCATCCATTGGCACGCTCCTCGCCTACGGCACACGGCCGCGTGGTGTGCGCGCTGGGGGGGGGGGGGGGATCTTCGAGGCTTGTCCAAGGTGCGATCCGGTTACCTGGTGAGCTCATGAAGCAGTCCTACTTGCAACGGCAGCCACCAGGGCGGCGCCACGTCCACTGCCGTCCTCCGACAGCATTAGCTCAAACTGTGGGTAACAGAGTATTGTGGTAATAAAATCACAGTGAAGATAAGTTATTACCTATGTCAGAACCAGGGCAAATTTTAATTCTCCCAAGCCGCTGCGACAGACAACATAGACGTATGAGTTCGTCGTCGTCTTCGTCACCGGGACTTTACGGCGCACTCAGCTGCTGAGACTACATGGCGTCGCCTGCCTCTCATTCTGGCGGGAACTGCGGACGCCGTGGAGAACGGAACCCAGTACCTCTGATTTCTCAGGCGTGCAGTGGATATATAATTTCACACACGTCGAGCATAGAAAGGCACAATAATACGACTGCTCCATCAGCCCTGGGCAATAACAGTGTAACAAAGTGGAAAACGCAATTTTTCCGACCAAATGCTGTCTGTTTCTTCTGGCCGTTCGATGCTTTACAAGAAGACACGATTGACGACCGCCACATTTCACATCACCAACGGCTTTAGGTCCGTGACATCCACAAAGCCCACAATTCATCTGCCGGCCCGCAGCTCAACACCCGCTCACCACCTACCTTGATGCCGGGCTTGATGAGCTTGCTGATCTGTTCGCACATGAGGTTGTGTACGTGCGGGTGGAACCTATAGACGGAGCCGTCCACGCCGACCGTCACGTTCGGCCTCTCCATCTTGTTGAGCAGCACCGCCAGACCGGTGCCGACCAGGAAGGCCGCCCTGCAGGGGCACAGGGCTCATTGTCAGCGGCCGGGACCAAGGCCCGGGGCAGCAGGGCGGTGTGACGGACAGAGGGCACCAGTGAGGCTCGGAACAGCGGGGTGTTATGACGGACAGAGAGCACCGGTGAGGCCCGGTAAGGCCCGCGACGGCGGGGTGTTATGACGGACAGAGAGCACCGGTGCGGCCCGCGACGGCGGGGTGTTATGACGGACAGAGAGCACCGGTGAGGCCCGCGACGGCGGGGTGTTATGACGGACAGAGAGCACCGGTGAGGCCCGCGACGGCGGGGTGTTATGACGGACAGAGAGCACCGGTGCGGCCCGCGGCGGCGGGGTGTTATGACGGACAGAGAGCACCGGTGAGGCCCGCGACGGCGGGGTGTTATGACGGACAGAGAGCACCGGCGCGGCCCGCGACGGCGGGGTGTTATGACGGACAGAGGGCACAGGTGAGGCCCGCGACGGCGGGGTGTTATGACGGACAGAGGGCACCGGTGAGGCCCAGGACGGCGGGGTGTTATGACGGACAGAGAGCACCGGTGAGGCCCGCGACGGCGGGGTGTTATGACGGACAGAGGGCACCGGTGAGGACACGACACGAGCACGCTGCACGCGCACGACAGCACGCTGCTGTCGTGCGCTGGAAGCACGCATGGGAACGGCACTCAAGCATGCGAGGTAGAGTGAAGCAATATGAGTCCAAATGAAATAGTTTATGCCGGGCTGGCAATCATTGCCGTACGTATGCCATGGATATCGTCGCTTAATAGAAGTTAAACAGTTCGCAGTTCATTGCAGGCATCCGGTAAGCGTTTATTGGCCTAATGCTGCATGTGGCGAACAAAGAAATGTCAAGAAAATTTACATAGCCGGGCTAAGCATTTCTATACCAGCACACCTCTTCAATGGGCATTGTCTCGTCCTCTCCTGTTCTGTCCCTGACATGTCAGCGCGTCGTTGCTCCGTCCTGCCCTGTCCTGCCCATGACATGTCAGCGTGTCGTCGTTCCGTCCTGTTCCGTCCTGCCCATGACATGTCAGCGTGTCATCGTTCCGTCCTGTCCCGTCCTGCCCATGACATGTCAGCGTGTCATCGTTCCATCCTGTTCCGTCCTGCCCATAACATGTCAGCGTGTCATCGTTCCGTCCTGTTCCGTCCCGGTCGTGGCTTCACTCCTCCCCTCCCTTGCCGTCGTGTGTTTATCCTTCACTGTTGCCATCCGTGCCGGCGCCGCCCGCGTCGCGCCAGTGAACCCCTCACCGCCGGGAGACAATCTCGCAGACGTAGCGCACGTTCTCGCAGTCCTCGTCTGTGGCGTGCTCCAGTCCCAGCTCCTCCAGCACCATCCGGCAGTTGGTGTAGTCGCCCGGTGTGTCGCTGGAACAGCGAGGCGGCCTACTCAAACACTGAGCAGTCCACACTGGTCCGTCACGGGGCAGATCACAGGGACAGCTCTGGTGCACTGAGCAGTCCACACTGATCCGTCACGGGGCAGATCACAGGGACAGCTCTGGTGCACTGAGCAGTCCACACTGATCCGTCACGGGGCAGATCACAGGGACAGCTCTGGTGCACTGAGCAGTCCACACTGGTCCGTCACGGGGCAGATCACAGGGACAGCTCTGGTGCACTGAGCAGTCCACACTGATCCGTCACGGGGCAGATCACAGGGACAGCTCTGGTGCACTGAGCAGTCCACACTGGTCCGTCACGGGGCAGATCACAGGGACAGCTCTGGTGCATGTAGTAAGACTCAAGCATGCATGTGGCGTGCAAATTTAATTTAGAAATTCGCCAATCCTACTCAAGGCGTATTCTTTTGTGTTCCTATGTTCACATGTTCTTGAATCTCAAAGGAAAGTTCCATATTCCAAGCGTTCCTTGAAAAAAAACATGGGAAAAAGATCCAGGGTTCCGAAGGCAGACGCAGTCTGAATTCCAAGGGTGGATCCAAGATCCCATGAGGTCAAATACTTATGAGATTCTGGGATTGGATCTTGGGATCTTTTCTGGGGCTCCAGTTATATGTCTGTCTAAAGGGTCGTCCAAGGTAACTTCACACTAGATCCAAGATCCTTGAGAAATCATGCGGTAAATTGAGAGACAGAATTCCGGATCTCAGCTAATCTTTCGACACAAATTTAGCGTGGATCCTGTATTCCGGAAATTTCAAGCCAGAAGAGTCAGGAGTCCGATTTCAGGATCCATGTCTGTGTTTTGCAGCACAGGCAGAACTTCTGAGCGCGACACATTTAGTTGATAAAATCAGCGAACTTTTAGAAGGTTATCAGCGAACAGGTGTGCTTTTGTTAGTCAGCAAGGTAAATATATTTTGTACATGTGATCAAGGCGAACTTGTGAATCCATTCAATAGGAAGCATAGGTTGCATACATTACATTAACTGGCCTAAGCAATTCACAAACAAAATTTCTTATCAAACTGGATCCAAGGGATCATTCCAAAAATCGCAATATGGGTCCAAAACAAAGGATACTCCCCCGGGAAAACTCTAAAGAGAGATGCAAGACCACTTAAGATTTTCCGGTATCATTTCCAGATAGATTCTGGATCCCAGGACATCCTTTAGCAGTCTGAAAAAAAATACTGAGTCTTGTAAATATTGAATCTGGGACTGTCAGTATCTGAGCCCGGGATCCATTTCTGAAATCTAAGCACATGTTCTGCTCATTTATACACTCCGCACACCTTTTTCATGTTGTCATGCTGCTGCTCCGAAGGCAGAAGCGCACTAGAGCCTTTTAGATGTTCATAGGCCTTGCAGCAGCTATTTAGGACGCATCGCACCTGTCTTGCAACCCGCACGACGCCATAACGCGGACCGAGGCTGTGAGCCTCCGCCGCGGCTGGCACAGCTCGGCCATCGATTTTCCATGGCGTCAGCCGGCCCATGGCGACAGCCGGCCCAGAAGGCGGCCAACGACGGCGGAGCCCACCGGCCAACGCTCCCAACTGTCCCGCTACCATGGGCGTCTGCAGAATTTGACGAGGGGGGCACAGCTCACAATTTTTTCATACACACCCAAAAACTCTAAGCGTGATGTTGACATTGAAAACATCAGTTTGTATGGTGACTGAATAAGCCACAAACCTGTCCACGCCCAAGCCACGAGCCCATTCAGGTTCTGTTCCAGACGACATAGCACGCAGTCTGACTATCCATAGCATACCGCTAACACATCAATGGTCCGTATTGCTTCTCCCCCTCGCCATTTCGCGAACGCACTAAGCCAGGCGTCTACCTTTCATATTCAGAAACGCATCCGGTAACAGGCGTGTTTCGATTTTGGCAACGTCTAGGTGTCCGGACAAGTCTGCACATCGGCCTGAGTGCCTGATCAAGTCTGCATATCGGTCTGTGAGATCCGCACTTCCGTCCCCGCCTTTCGGCTTCGACGACACATCCTGCTCAACCCCCGTTGCTGCCTCGTCGCTGCCTCGGGCGACGTTGGTGTGTGTGTGGGGGGGGGGGGGGGAGGGGCGCAGCTCAGCAGGACTCACCTTTCGACCTCGGTGACGTATTTGGTGAAGAAGGTACCCTTCTCGGCCAGCGTGTCCGAGCCCAGGCCGCCGAACAGGAGGCCCCGCTTGGTGAGGCGTTGCAGCACCAGGCGCACCAGCTCCCCCATGTACATGCCGCTGATCATCTTCTCGAACAGCTGCCGGCCGGGGTTGATCGAGTGCTGGTCGATCTCTCGGTCGTAGTCTGCGAACAAACAGCGCCGTCAGCAGTCGCGGGTGGTGAAGTTGGGGAGGGGGGGGGGGGGGTCAGACCCTGTGAGCGGAAGGTGACGTAAGAGCTGGTAAGAGGTGGGGACTTGAGGGGGTGACGTATGAGTTCCGGCCGCCGTATCTCTTGGTAAAAGTTTGCAACTGACGATGAGGTGTGGAGCCGCTTGGGACTGGGAGACGGTCGCTGTTCCACAGGGCATTGTTGAAAGTTTAGCGCGGGAGGCATTCTCAAACGTTTGAAGGTCCTCTTCAGTGGAACATTTTCTTGTGACGCTACTAAGTGCTTCAATACATAGCTTTTCCGCGGGCATGTCAAGCCTCCGATCAGAATGCAGTTCCCAGCTCGCGTTCCTGCGACTGAAGACGCAATGAGACGTAATGAAAAAGACGTACTTTAGCGTAAGTATGTAAAGTACGTAAGTACCTAAAAGTACGTAAGTACCTAAAGTACGTAACACGTACTACAGTGGCTAACATGACAAGGTATCATCATCTGACCTATAGCTCTGAACTTATGTTGCTGTTAGGGGATAGGATTTTCAAGCCATGTGCCTGACTACAGGCGCATACCTTACTCATGGTGGCGCCGCCCACCCCCGCAGCTCCACTGATTAGAACACCCACCTCCCGTCCCATCCGGGCGGGGTAACGTATCGAATCACTATAAGCGCACGCTATTTGTCCATACTGGATGGGATGGAATGTTATGCAACAGATGGCAGCGACCGCTCCAGGCCCGATGAGGTCAAAGCGTGGGCAGACCGTGCCCAGCATTGCGGTGTGCTAAGCTTTCACCACAAAACTGTTGTTGGAATTTTTCGATCGGATAGCGGAGTTAAGGTTCATACACAAAACACTGGTTAAAGTGAACTCTGATCCAAGAAATTCGTCTGATAAAAAGGTTTGGACTACATTGACAAAAGCATAAGACAGAAATTATCATCATGAATTGCCTGTAGTGCCGGAAATGAGAAGGAACCCTTCACGGACTAGAGAAGTGGCCAACTGCACAGCCAGCAGCACACCACTCAGCTGTTGAGCTGGCATGCCAAGCTCGACTATGCATGCGATGAAAACCAAATCATGCAGTTTTGAGAATGGTTCGCGGTAGCTTCGACAGAAACAACAAATATGCATGCCCCCACTGACATTTAACGCGCGCTGGCTTTCCTCTCCTCCGACCTGACCTGTGAGGATGAAGCCCAGCTCGCCCTTGTTGCCGAACGCGCCCCACTCGGTGTTGATGAGCACCTGGCGCGGCTCCTCCCAGCTGCCGTCCCACAGCTCGACATTCTCCAGACGCTCCACATAGCACGCGTTCGTGCCCGTGCCTGGGAAACGACGCGTGTCAGACGGTCCGGACACAACCATCCTCTGCCCCACACAGAGCACTCACTGGGAGAGTGCTCTGGGATCGGCGCGTGTCAGATGGTCCGGGCGCAACCAGCCTCTGCCCCCACACGGAGCACTCGCTGGGGGAGTGCTTTGGGAGCGGCGTGTGTCAGACGGTCCGGGCACAGCCCGCCTCTGTCCCATACAGAACACTCGCTAGGGGAGTGCCGGGGGGGGGGGGGGGATGGCGCGTGTCAGATAGTCCGGGCACAGCCAGCCTCTGCCCCTCACTAAGCACTCGCCGCTCGATCTGAGATCATCAACAAGGATCTGAGTGTCCACTTGCGTCATTCATCGCTGTTTGGAACGGCGAATGCTACGATAGAATTGCTTGCATGTCTTCGCTGTTTACCAGCTTCTCCTGGCATGACAAAGCTCATTTATTGTCAATGCGCGTCTATACGCCGGCTAATATTATTGAAAACGCCAAGTTGTCGGGGGAGTGAGTCTCTTGATAGCCACATGAGGCGTAGGTTCAGTTTATAAGCATGACCGAGTGGGCCGTTAAGTCTGACAAATCGTCTTAATCGTCCAGAGGTATGGGTAATGCGGTCAATTACAATCCGGCACTGCAATGCAACCCTTCTCCTGCCTAATGACTCTGGGACCCTACTTTGCATTCGCTTGCGCTACCACGTCACAAGGTCATTGCCTCCAGTTAAAGCAGCATTTCATCCTAGCGTGACATTTTCTGCTAGACAGATCGGAGCTAGAGGTCAGAGTTCTGTGAGCGATCAAACTGCAAGATGGGGAAGGTTGCATTTTTGCGCAAGCCACGTAACATCTTGTGAGCTGAAAATTACTCTGAAAGCTTGTGATGACATCTCGATATTTTTGAAAAGAATATTAATATTCGTTCAGTCTACTTTCTTCTACGAAAGCAGTGAGCTTTTACGACAGGATGACCAAACTGCGCCATGTTCAAACGTCTGAAAACGTTATTTGTCGGTGTTTGGAAACCATAGGGCCGTGCGGGAGCGATGATTCAGAAACCGTAGGGCCGTGCGGGAGCGATGATTCAGAAACCATGGGATCGTGCGGGAGGGATGATTCAGAAACCACGGGGCCGTGGGGGAGGGATGATTCAGAAACTATGGGGCCGTGGGGAGGGATGATTCAGAAACCATGGGGCCATGGGGAGGGATGATTCAGAAACCATGGGGCCGTGGGGGAGGGATGATTCAGAAACCATGGGGCCGTGCGGGAGGGATGATTGAGACACCATGGGGCCGTGGAGGAGGGATAATTCAGAAACCATGGGACCGTGGGGGAGGGATGATTCAGAAACGTCACCGAACGCCGCAACTCTATTTCAGCAAGCTCAAAAACCACATCTTAATAGATGTCGTCTCTGATTTGGTAAAGACATGCAAGGATGACATCGAGTATGAAGCCGAACGGGTCAGAAGTGTTCAGAATATCCCCCTTCATTCGCGCCGGTAACTAGCTCCGTTCGCGCCGGTAACCAGCATCTACGGCTTGTTGGCCGCATGGTCCAACGACAATGCACACATGCGTGATCTGCATCATGATCTGCCATCAACTGCACAATTGTGCATCTACCATGAATTGCACAATCGCACATCTACCATGAATTGCACAACTGCACATCTGCCATGAATTGCAGTGTTTCGTAGACCGGGTGCGGGCCAGCGCTGAATAACACTGAGGAAAATGCTATCGTTCATACGTGTTCCTGGAGCAGTGACTATGTGGCAGTGAAATGCTTAGCATATGCCGCGTCACTGGCCAAACGGCGCCGCCCAGCTGAGTGGTTTGGCGTCAGCAACAAAGCCAATCTCACGCTTTTTTACCGCGCGAGGGTTATTGGCAAATAGGCCGGACCATTGCCATGGTGCATATGCAGAGTCAAATGCCACTGTAGGCAGCGGTCGGCATGAACATATTGCCGCCGACCACAACGGAATCTCTCCAACAAAAACGACGTACAGAGGCGCGTAAAGGATTCAAGGATGGAAATCAAACAAAAACGAAACGGGTTTAGCTTAAACTTTAGCGTATGCTTAAAACGAAAAGCGCACTACGCGCCAGAATGACTGGCTACGTGTTCAAAGTCACCATGTTCACTACAATGGCAGAAGGTGAGACGATCGGCGGCAGCACGCCGCCACCTAAGCGTTCAGTAAACCACATACAGCGTTCGGTTAAGAGTATTGCATGCAGTGCTCCGTTCACCGCTGCCGAGCACGAGCGTACCGATGATGAGGCCGACGTAAGTGTCGTGCTTCTTCCAGGCGCACGACATCAGCGTCCCCGTTGTGTCGTTGAGCACTGCGCACACCTTGATCTGGACATCCTGCCGGAAACAAAATGCTTTGGCGTAAGGTTTGGAGCTGTAGTGCACGCGTAGAAATGTTTCATGCGAGTGTTGACTCATTTGTCTGGCATCGGCTCAGCGGTGCACTCAGTCGGGCCTTTCTGGCTGTGGCAGTGGCCATACGGCCATATTTGAGGGCGCGGTTTTTGCGGCTTCACCGTCCTTCGGGGAGAGGGAGCGGGGGGGGGGGGGTTGTGGCAAATGTCGTGTCGTATCTCCGTCAAGACATTTCTCGTTTCGCTGTACTAATCCTCCCCCCTAGCACCCAAACAATTGAAGCAATCCCCATCTTTGAAGCCTTGGCCTATCTCAGCGAGGCTCCCCGTGTCTAACATCGTACCCGAGGTACAGGTCAACAACGGTTTTGATGGCGTTAACTGCCCACCCAGCCACGACCTTTCACTTCCAGCCCTCGTATGCCAATATGGCTCCCTCTAACAGGCTCAATCTCTTTCCCCAGCCCATCGATTTCTTCACCTGGCCCTGATCTCCCTCAGTTGGCTCCCTCGCCTGTCCTTGACTCCCTCATCTGGCTCCATCCCCCGTCCGTCATCTCCCTCACTCGGTCTCCTCACCTGTCGGTAACCTCCCTCACCCGCACGCAATCTCTCTTACCCGGCCACAGGCTTCCTCATCCGGTCGTAATCTCACTCACCCGGCCACAGGCTTCCTTACCATGCAGCACTTTCTTTCTCCCATCCATCTCGTCCCTCAGTCAGAGAATGCCCATTGCCATCTCCCTTATACCTCCATCGCCTAACCGTCACGTATTTCACTCCCCAGCTGTCCTTTCCTTTCCAGCCTCGCCCGCCTCCTCCGTGTCTCCAGACCCATATCCCTCCGTCCCCCTCCTCCAGACCCGCGCCGCACTGACCCCACGCCGTTGGATGGCCTCCTCCAGCAGGCGGACGACATCCTCTCCCTCGACTCCGCTGCAGCTGAACCCCTTGGTCCACTGCACCAGACGCGCCTCCGTCAGACCGTGCTGGCTGCACGGAAAGCTGAATGTGAAGCCCAGCGGCAGCACCTCTTTCTCGATGTGCTGCGCATGCGCGAATGCCGACAGACACTCGGCGATGTGGTCAAACAGCTGCGGAGAGAAGGGCGAATGTGTGAGAGGCGGTGCGGCAGGCGGCGTTAGATAGTGAGGGAGAGGGACAGTATGACGGGCGGTGGGAGACAGTGAGGGGTGGTGGTAATGGACAGCATGACAGGCGGTGGGAGACAGTGAGGGGGGGGGGGGGTGGTGAGGGACGGCATGACAGGCGGTGGGAGACAGTGAGGGGTAGTGGTGAGGGACAATGTGAGAGACGGTGTGAGGCAGTGAAGGGAACGGCAGTGCCACAGGCGGTGTAAAACAGTGTGAGGGCGACGTATAATAGGTTTAATGAAAGGTGGTGTGGTAGCTACCACACCTGCCGAAATGAATTTCCCACACGAGGAAACCACCACCTGAAAGCTTTGCACTCAGTCGCTCACCACATACATTCCACATGAAAATGTGTCCAGTGGTTGTTTTTTGAATTTTGTTTTGCGACAGGCTCTGTAGTGTTCTGTTAAGACCGCCTTTCTACAATAACCTCGCTAACGTCATGTTCGTGTGTCGTATCCTTGAAAAGCTGAATCCTAAGAAATATCGCCTGCAGTTTGAACATAGAAAGTTCTTGCTCGCTAGCGTGCGGTTCCGTTCCAACCCGCCTCGTTGGTTTCACTCCTTGCGTCAGGCTCTAATTGGGAAGCCACAGGCCACATTCTCGGCTATAAAGACTCAATGACCGCGAGCTGCTGGGTCCAGAAAAGCCAGTCCTCCAAATCGCTGGAGAAATATCTCCTATGAATGACTAAAACTGATGCAGCTAGGCGTCGTCATAAGAGGGAAGAGAGAGAGAAGAGAGAGAGAGAGAAGAAGAGAGAGAAGAGATAGAGAGAGAGAGAGAGAGAGAAGAGGAATATAGAAGATATACGAGAGATAGAGAGAGATAGAGAGGAGAGAGAGAGAGAGAGAGAGGAAGAGGAGAGATAGAGAGAGAGAGAGAGAGTAGAGAGAGAGAGATAGAGAGATAGAGAGAGTAGAGAAGAGCAGCGAGAGAGAAGAGAGAGAGAGAGAGAGAGAGAGAGAGAGAGAGAGAGAGAGAAAGAGAGAGAGAGACTAACAACACGGCTGCCGACTATACTGGATAGTTTGAGTGAAACTGTGCGTTAACTTAGTTGGCTTGAGTTATTTACGGGACAGGCAACGTGATTTTCAGAAGATGGAAGAAATGCTGCTTTCTGTCAGCAAGACTAACGTCACCCATCCCAACGTCATTGTTTTGTAGTACGGCTGTAACCACTACGGCCCGGATAATACGGCAGGGAGAGAGATTGCAATTTCACACCATTACAACAGCAAAGTCGCATGCCCAGTTTTACGGTGAGCCCATGATTTCCTCACTTTCTACACCCACGGTAACGCCAGCAAATGAACACGGACGTGGCGCGTCCGCGTCCGCCGATGACGTAATATGTTGCCGTGGGCTGCCACCTCTCGGTCTAATCGCCACTTCAGGCTCGACTCGCCCTGAGGTACGAATGTCGGCCTCCGCTTACAGCCAGCTGTAGCCAAGACCTTATAACAACTGCACCTACCCTGTGCCGCACCTGGGCCCGGCTTGATCGTTTGACAACAAAGCACGCTTGCCAGCCGCCGCGTTCTGCTGCTAGCGGGCTGCGCTAGTGGATCGATGACCCGGACGTCAACATGGCCGTGCTCCGACTCAGCAGTGGCGTACGGCAGCTCAACAGGTCAGGCACCGACAGCCGCAGACCACGGCCATGGCTTGCAATGGCGCCAAACGCCGAAGGACGCTCTACCAGCAGCCGACCAGTGAAGCAGGCCGACAAAACACTTTCTCTGATTTCATTCTCCTCACAATGAGTGGAATTATATGACTCCAAGAAGTCGTTTTCCAGCTGTACAGCTCCTGAACGACTGCAATGTTGTTAATCCTGCTTCTTGGTTTCGGCTGTGGCATTACAGATTTACCACTGTTCAAATCGGGCTTACGTCTACTGCGTTCTTCCTTCGATCTGAGGTGAAGCGGAAGACCGTGCCGCAACTCTACATGCATTGAACTCCAACACGAACGTGGAATGGTCCCAATCGCCTTAAAATGCCGGGACATCTTGGCCAGCGACTTTGACGAAAGCCTTCATCGGTGAGACCACACGGCAGTGCGAAAAGTGGGATCTGAGCAGGATGTCGCTACGTTCGGGCTCTACTCAAAACAGCGCTTGGGATTTTTTTTTAAAATGCCGGTTTGCGAGCAAGCTTCCTGATAGTGCAAACGTTTTGCAGCAAAGATAACTCTTCAGTTGCTGTTATAGATTGGTTTCTTAATCGCATTGTTGGCAGAGCTAACGAGATGACTTAACCACACCTCTACAAAAAGTACCACTGAATAACGACTTGATTGTTATCATAGATTGCTAAATAACAGCGAACCTGCGGTACCAGGACTAGCTGACCAAAACGCTACATTACAGTGTTCAGCATCGAAAAATCGTGGATTTCTACCGGGTAGCAGCACTATCATCGCCATCAGGAATGATAGGAAAGTCTGGCTCCGCGTCCCCCGCAAAGTCAGGCCACGTAGTGCATCGACCCGGGCCACTCACCCCGACGCCCGGACCAGCCATGATGTTCTGTGGGACGGCGAAGATGCGCGACTCCATCTTGAAGTCCCCGTCAGCCAGTTGGATGAGCAGCACGCGGAAGTTGGTACCGCCCAGGTCCAGCGCCAGGAAGCGACCTTGTTCTGCAGCAGCGCCAAGGTCACAGGAGGTCATCGGACAGGTCGGCAAGACACCAGGCGTGACAGTGCGCACCAGAGCGTAGGCTGGTCAGAAAATCACATACAAACCATTGAATAGCTGATGCTGATGCTGTCAACAATGTATGCGTCACAAATACTTTCGAGCGTCGTAGCTTAATTCACTTTCTCTACACATATATGACGGATTTCGTGCCCAGCTACGATTTTGAGCCAGAACCGACTTGAGTGAGAACATGTTTGGCCATGTCAAGGTGCAGTCGACTTCAGCTGTTTGTGGAGTCATAGTCAAAGTTGATTCAGCCATCACACAGAGCTACGCCGAGTCAGCTCCCAAAACGACGGGTATGCTGAATGCTGAATCACGTGAAGCGTCCTTCCCCGATTGCCAGCCTGTGTCCACACGCGATAGTAGTGTGATACCGAGGTGCCTGGCATACTGGCACCATGCACGATACTGCACAGTTGGCGATTGCGATTGGAAGAATGCTGTAGACAGTAAAAAGACATCCTGAATTCGCATGAACACTGTGTTGTTCAAAGGTGCCGACCCTATGGCCACTCTAACTATGGCCAATGGAATGACTCTACTACACTAAGCTGATACTTTGAACACTGAAAGGTGATCTATGCCAACAGCACATACAAATAAGCAGTTGGGGTCTGCTGCCAGCAGTCAGCTCTGAAGTGGGTCAAAATTTCGTTGCTTCAGGGGTAACTGATACGCCGAGAGCAGGCGTTCCGAGGGAGACTGCTTGTTTTCTGCATGCGCAATACCACTACGCATCGTGGATGAGAGGATGCCATAAAAAACGGAGAAGACAATGAATCGTCTGAAAGAAGCCGAGTGCATCACAAGTGTGTGACCTAATCGCATCAGGAGCCCACCCCATCAGGACCCAAACGTCATCGCGAGGTGAGCCAACGGTATCAGGAGCCTTTGCAAGGATGAATGCTGATTTCCCTGTTGGTCGTGCAGCCCCCCACCTCTAGCACGACGCCTGCAGCGCGTCGCGGTGACTAGCCAGTTTCGCCAGGTAGACTGGCCGAGGGCTGGATGGCAGACAGACGCGTGACCTTCAGACCAGCTGAAGGTCGATCACGCCACGTCTGTGGGAAGGGGGAGGAGCGCGCGGACCTGGCGCGGCGCCCGCGGCGCACGACGGCTGCGGCCGCCCCGAGCCGCTGGTCGCCTCGGCTGCGATCGCAACGGCGGGGTGACCACGCGGCGCACGACGGCTGCCGCCGCCGAACCGCCGGTCGCCTCGGCTGCGATCGCGACGGCGAGGTGACCACGCGGCGCACGACGGCTGCCGCTGCCGAACCGCCGGTCGCCTCGACCTGTGGCTGCGCCGTCGGGGCGACCACGCGGCCGCGGCGAGACCGTAGCGGCGCTGGCGCAGCTGACGGGGGCTGCCAGCGTCGCTGGCCGGCCCGGCGGGACACGTGGCAGAAGACCAGGGCTCGGACGTCACCGCCTGCTATTTCAGCCACTCATGACAGCGGCGTGCGCGCGTCAGCGTCGAAAAAGACGAGTCGGTGTGGAGCGCGGCGAGCGATGGCGCTGTCTTGGCGGAAGCGACGCGCCGGCTCAGTGGCCGCTTTCAAGGTCGGAGGCCCACTAAAGTGAGATAATTGAAATTTCCGTGGGCGATGCGGCGGGGTTTGAAGCACCTCATTCTTTTGAAAGTGATGTACGGAGGTGTTCACGTTTTTGCCCGAGGCTCTCGGCACGGCGGTAAGGCAACCTCCCCTACCCAATGTCATGGAGTTGGGCACGCGCTTGCGTCTTACGTAAGTATACAGCACGGAGCTATTTCAGCTGTTCGGGTCGGTATTGACGCACGACGTACCCAACACGGATCAGATATGTACTCCGCGGCAAAACCGCGAATAACCCAGCCGTTCATCCCGGTCTGTCTGGTGTGCAGCTGGACGCGGCACTCACCGTGGCCGTTGGGTAGTTCCTTGACGTAAGTGGGGAAGCACTTGACGGTGGCGTGGGCGTTGGTGGCGCGGCCCAGTCCCAGGTTGATCTGGGCCAGCAGACTGCTGTACACGTCCTGGATTTGACCCGGGGTCAGCACCAGCTCCTGGCATGCCTCCTCCATCTGAAGGCGGCAGCAAGTGATAGTGTTATCGAGGCGTTCTTCAATCACCACTAGATGGCCGAACCATAGGGCGGCTCGCTGACGACAAACAGCTTGAAAGCTTCAAGTGCGCGAAACCTTTTTTAACACATTTTTTCTAGAGCGGGCGAAAAATGCTCAGGCAAAAAGGGAACTTTTGAAACCATTCCAGATGCTTGAAAATTGACCCCATGGGCTTTCGTCTTCGAGCGTTGTCTTGGGCCACAGGGCCAACAACAGAACGGAAGCACCATTCATCAAAATGTGGCATATGTCTCCTGTGGGACCAATACCAGTGTCAACAGTTTGCAGGATTGCTACATGATGAAGGAAAGACTCCTTCAGAAATGTGCGCGTGTGTGTCATTGGGGCTTTACGATGGACTCGGCTGCTGAGGCTATATGGCGTCGCCCGCCTCTCACCCTGGCAGGAAGACTGGGCACCGCGGGGAATCGAACCACGTGCCTCTGGTTTCCCAGTCGCGCAGTGCTACACTACCGGCACCTCACTTCCACAGAAAGCAAGGCGCCTAACGAACCAGGAGAGAATGACGCATTTTCCTGCAAGCTGACTTTAAAAGTAGGTTCCGGTGGGCCAAGACCTCAAAGTAAGTACGTTGCAATACGCGAGTCGTAATATACTTATTCAAAGAAACAAGCAACATCTATGTAATTATTACTTTTACAGGGAATCAAATGTTCACCTGCGGGCTGATATATCGAAATATTTGCGAAGTCCGGAGAGTGTTAATGTTTGTGCACTGTGCACGAAACCCGAATATTTGCTCTCTGCCGACAGCCCTTCCACACAATGATGACGGACGCCCCACTCATAAAACACGATAAGATACCCGTATGTGATCACGTGAAGCGTCCTTCCCCGATTGCCAGCCTGTGTCCACACGCGATAGTAGTGTGATACCGAGGTGCCTGGCATACTGGCACCATGCACGATACTGCGCAGTTGGCGATTGCGATTGGAAGAATGGTGTAGACAGTAAAAAGACATCCTGAATTCGCACGAACACTGTGTTGTTCAAAGGTGCCGACCCTATGGCCACTCTAAACACGGAAGTTATTATGTGCAGATTGACTTGGCCAATGGAGAGGATATATGATCGCCGTTTAATGACGTGGGAAGAACATTTAAGGACGACATGGACACAGCAGTGTTCATCGATAAGGTGGTGATGACCTCATGAAACGTGCTCTTATATAGCACTTATGGGTTTCTTCCTCCTCCTAGCTTACGTTTAAGTCCTCAAAGCTGGCTTGGGCCTTTTTGTGCTCGAATATCACGAAAGTGAGGAAATAGTAAAATGGCACGCAAGGGAAACAGCTTCTACGTATTTGAGCATTAGTTGATGCTCATGGCTACCGTGCCATTTAACTGAGACACTTTTTATCAATGACACGAAGGTTGAAAATAGAATGTCTCAAAACAAACAAAATAACGGTTAATTAACATAAAGTGGGTGAAGCCCGTACACATGTGATGGAGGTTAGCTTGTTAACCCTTTGGCTCATCTCCCCTGCGCTTAATCATTCACACCAATCGGTGTCCCTGCTGATTGTTGTCTGACAGAGGTACTCTACGATCTTATGGGCATTTATTCGCTGAAAAAGGTGTATTGCGGCTGGAAAAGGCGGCTGGTTTGCTCTTGCACCGAAACCGTCACAAAACGGTAGCAGGAGCCAGCTAATGTGGAGTTCGTCCTGCGCATCTGTTTCAGTAAGCCCTGTTCAGGACTTTTCCCCCGCCAGGACAGCATCCACCAATTGGTGCCACCAACTACCGTTGCAATATTGACAGCTTGCCTTCCCTGCGAGGCCGAGTCCGACTGTTCTCCACTGCCCACACCGCGTGCGACCATCAGTGGATCGATCGCATCGGTCTGATCAGCTGCGCCTCCTGCATATAATGAGGGACATTGGTGTGAGCACTTCTCTTGCCGATTAGGCCTCGTTCTGACGTCACATCGCACGCTGCGGTAGACAACTAGAATGATATGATCGATTTGTGAGTCACTGGTATCTGTATGCAGGATGCAACCCATGGCTAAGTCAGTTACCCACCTCGGCTAGATTTGGAGGCACTGTTGGCGATATCTGAACACGCTGAAGCAAATGCGGTTATTGGCTATGCATGTGTATTGTAGTTTTTTTCTAAGTGCTTCGCGTGTATGTTCAGGGTGCGAGTGGTCTACACCACGCAGTATGTGGCAAGAGAGCTTGCTAATTATCGCTTGAGCCAGCCGGCGAAGTCTTCCCACCCTCGTTTAATGACCCATTTGGCGACTGGCCTGTTTATGACACAGGGTCGCCGAGCCCTCTAGTCGGTGCCACCGCGGCCACCCTGTGCCCCGTTGACGCTACCCGGCTAGTTGGGATCGAACCCAGCCCCATTGGGCAAGTCCTCCCATCTACGTTGGATGACGGGATGACATGATGACACCTAACCGGTGCCTACGATGTCAATGATTCAAGCGTTACCACCGGTTGCCGTCCCTCGTCACGCTGCGAAAGGTGGTGTGCGCTCCGGTTTTCCTACTGTGTAGAACGGATCCGAAACTGGGTGTGTCAGTAACATGTACGTAAGCTTCATACATTTGCCAAAATCTCAACATATGATGGCAGCGACGTTTCATCCCGTTATCGCTAAAACTGATTGCACTTATTGACGATGTCCATTCTTAACTGTATAGGCAAGGCCATGTAGCAGGCATGAGCACACTGCTTTACAAGCGTAGCTACAAACAACGAGCCAAAAGGCAGACGCAATGAACTGCTGTTTGAGAATATAATTTTTTTTATTCTTCTTGCCTGGCCTGCATTTAAGCAAATCGTCGCAACTTCGACGACAAGCAACTGATGTGTAATAAGCGTCGTTTAAAAGCAATGAATGCGCGTTTAAAGCACACACAATATCAGGCAGCCAAGGTTCCTTATTTGGTTCCCCCGGAACTAGGTTCTGGTTCCTGGTTCGGAAGCCAGCAAAGACCTAGGAATCACTCATAAATCGAGCCGAAGAACCAAGCGGTCTCTCCGCATGTCAGGAAGAAAGCAAATGTCTGATTAAGGGGTTCATAAACTAGCAGTCTGGCAGGTAGGCACGTACCGTCGGCTCAGAAGCTGCATAGTTTGACCGTTTAACGACCCTGCAAAAAAACATTGCATCCAACCTTCCCATATGAAACTCGATCCCCGGGTAGGTATACACGACTAAGGAGAGCTGTCCGGTATTGGTGGGCTCAGGTGTATTTTGCGCCGTTTGTTTCCATGTTCCGTTGCCATGCTCTGTCATAGGCCTAACAGTAAATCCTAGATGGATCCATCCAAACGAAGCAATTTTCATACAGGCCCCTCGTCTTGAACGCGATCCGACCGTTCCTCGTTACAGGAAATGCTCCAGATTTGAAAATATTGAAGCAAATTGGATATGATGAAATAAGGTCGTTTATAACTATCGGTATACCTTAAGTGGAAAAGAATGCTCCGAGCAAAAAAAAAATTCTCGATTTGGTGAATATGCTCCTCAATACTGTCTGACTGTGTCATCGTACCTGGCACATTTTTGATTGAAAGCCAATTGGCGGCCTTTGTATCTGGAAGTCGTGATCACGAACGGCAGATATGAACGACTCGACAATTATATTTTTACTGACCTTGATCGCTGCACGGCCAATGGAGTGACCGAATTTGAATGACGATCATAACGTCGTGTATGTCTGGGTGGCCTTCAGATGGCCTGCACGAAAAATCTGCACGAAAAAGTCTGTGCATTTTCGCAGGCGTGTAGCTCAGAACCTAGAGGGGCTTGGGTAATAAGAAGAACAGGGCTGCAAACCGCACTAAAAGATCAGCATGATGGTCATTTCAGTTAAAAACACCCACGCAAACGTGGAACGCTCCCTTCAAAGCGAGTTCACGCGATCCCAGAACCCCGAGGCACAAGCGCGCTATTGATTGCGCTTGCATCACGCCCTCCGCCCGGCGCCAATCAGCTGCGAGCGCCGGCGGCGGCAGCCAATCAGCGTGCGGTCGGCCGGAGGCGCGACCCGCGTGCCAGGAATAGGCTTGGTGGCTGCCGGCGGGGAAGCCAGCGCGGGGGTGGGTTGCACGAGCGGGTTGGCACTCACTGCCCGGTGGTGTCAGGTCGGACGCCAGCGGGGGGAGGGGGGGGGGCGCTCACCTCGGAATAGATGCCGACGCAAGGCCCGCCCAATGAACGGGGTCACGCGCAACGTGCGCTAGGGGGCTCGTCTCTGGTTGACAAGCCCACCTTCGGTACAAGTTCGTACACGTGTGGGGCAAAGGAAGCACGCGATCCGTTGTGTGCGACAGATTGCTGGTCCGCGCTGAACGCCTCGCGTATACGGCTGAATTAATAGTGACATTCGCACGCACTTGCCGTCTAGCGATTTAATCGCTGTTGCCGACTCCACACCTTCGACGGCCAAATTATCGTGTCCGCCAACCAAATCAGGTCATAACGGGTCTACCAGATCAGGGAATCTGACCAGATCAGGTCAGATCAGGATCAGGAACACCAACTGCGGCGTAGCCCATGGGGCCTTCTCGAGCCATGGCTTTCCTTTCCTGGAGTTGGCGGGGCTGATGCTCTCTGGGCCCGACGGCCCCAATAATTTTAGGCAGTTTAAGACGCCCGAAATGGAAAGAAACAATGCAAGCGAGCCTCCGAGGCGGCAAAAGCAGGGCTCGGGCCTACGAGAGTGCCACGAATACAATACAAGGTGTATAATTCATGAAAAAGAAGAGCCCCTATTATTTGACCTGGCTCCCTCCTGTATGGGCGCAACTATGTTCCTGAGTCTGGGAGAGGGGGCCAGGATTTTGATGGTCCGACTGGAATCTCGAGGGTATAACCTGACCTGGACATGATATTGGGAATGGGAAAGCGTAAAGAAACGTTCAATGCATGGACAAAACTGAAGGAGACATAATAATTGTTTTCGGAAAATCGGGGACCTGTCTCCTAGTCCGCCCCCCCCCCCCCCTACTGAATGTTATGCCCATGTCCTCCTGGACGAAAGTGTAGCTACGGCTGACTACAGTATGCCTGACCACTGAACACCACTGTTCCGGCCGGACCGAGCGTCCACTCACCCTGGACGAGGTGGGCGTAGATATCATGATGTCTCTGTCCTCCTCTGCCGCCGGCTGTCTCAGGCACTCAGGCATGTCGCTGCCGTACCGCGCTCGATCGCCGTGTTTGACCCCGTCAGGCCGCCGGCACCGTCTGAACGCCCTTGGCGCCGAGTCGACGTCCGCGCCGACGGGGGCGGGGGAGGGGGCGTGCGCGCACGCGCCGTTTCATCGAGCCGCCGACGGCGCCGGCCCTGGGGCGATACACATCGCCGCCGGCCATGTGACTGGTGACGTCACCGGCCTACAGCGGCGTAGAATCGGAACTATGTTGGCGAGACGGTAGACTGAATCGATGCCGTCGGTGGCGCTGTGGAGTCACGAGGGTGGTGGGAGAGAGAAAGAGGAGGTGGGGGATGAGGGCGCGAGGGGCTGCCATGAATTACTACGGCGATGTATATAGATTGATGCCATTTTGTAAATTGTAGGTAGACAGACGGGGTCTATTGACCAATTCACTTAACTTGAGGGACAGCAACGTTTACAGGTCCCGGGATTACACAATTCTTGCACATTTATAACTAAGGTGTAGGTTAAGAAAGTCTTATTTTTGGTATTTCAGGAACTCAGATTTTTCATATTTCCAAGCCCACATTTCTCCCCCTTCCAATCTTTGTTTTGTAGTTAGCTACAACGGTATTTGCTCTCATACGGACATCAATATGGGCATAAATCACAAAAGGTACCACATTTTGATAAGAAGGGATTCAAAGCCCAATTCGTGCACAATGCACCGACAGAGCGCATACGTGATGATGATGATGATTTGGGGATTTAGGGCGCATCGACTGCTAAAGGTCATGCAGCGCCCATAACTATCGATTCATGCAGAGCCGTCAATCAGAGAAGTGCATCAATCAGGTCACCCTATAGAGCCATGATGATCGGCCCTAGCATCATGATGAGAAGATTACAGGAAAATCTATAGCGCGAAGGAACTGGAGCACTTTACCAAACCCGACGATGTTCGAAGAATCCCCTAAAAAGTCGCATAGCGTGCGACTCTGGACGTGGCGTCCGAAAAACTGCGCTCTCGTTGCCGTAAGGTGGCGGCAAGCGACCAGTACGTGACGCACGGTCAGTGGATCAGAGCATCGACCGCAGCATGGTCTGTCGCCAGCCAATAGCAGGTGACGGTGCGTAGCATATGTGTGACCTATGCGTAACCGGCAAAGGGCAACTTCTTCCACCCTATTGTCCCGAAAGCACGACTGCCATAATCCAATGCGGGGTTTCACCGACTGCAGCTTGTTGGCGCTCAGCGAGTTCCAGTACAACTGCCATCGCTTCTGCATAAACAGCGACACTGCGGGGTACATGTCTTGAGCAGGTAGTGGTGTTATAGGAATTCTAGTCCCCGTCGTAGCGCGCTTTGCTGCCGCGTCAGCAAGATCATTTCCGCATATCCCCACGTGACTTGGGATCCAGCATAGAACGACCGTTTTTCCTGCTCGATCCAGTGAGCTAAGACGAGATTGAATGTCCTGAACAAGTGGATTCGACGGGGAGAAGCCGCTAACAGCCAGCAGGCTGCTCAAGGAGTCGGAAAGAATTAAATGCAGATTGCTATCGTCCACTTCAATAAAACAGAGAGCTTTGCTAATGGCTATAAGCTCGGAAGTGTAGACCGACGCGTGTGAAGGCAGTGTGAATGACCGTGTGGTCGATCCGCACACAAAAGCGCACCCTACACCTGCATCCGTCTTCGAACCATCTGTATAAGTCATCTTGTACCCATCAAAGGAGGCCATGTGCTTTAAAGCTGCGCCTTTGAGTTCCGCCATGAGGACATGTTGCTTTTGCATATTTGATAGAGAGACATCCACTCTTGGCGATGCTAGCTCCCAAGGAGCAGTCTCCATGGGTTTAGGTCTGATGACACGCCGTAGGTTCAGGCCGCTCGCATCTAAAAGCTCTCTCATTCGTACACAGAAGGGAGAAGTTTTAGGTGACCGTTGACGTAGGAAAAGCCTTCGTAAGCTACGCGAAAACACTGCTTTGTAGGTGGGATGATCTGGGAACTGCGCCAGCTTGCACGTGTAGCGCAGTCCCAGCATCTGCCTTCGCAATGCTAGTGGGGGCTCGTGAGCCTCCACCAGAAGACTGTCTATGGGCGATGTCCGAAAAGCCCCTGTGGCGATACGGAGTGCGGCGTGATGCACCGTGTTCAGAGTACGCTTGATCAGGTCTGATGAGCTGTCGTAGATAAAACAGCCGTAGTCAAGTTTTGAACGAATCAGGGAGCGGTATAGGAGTAAGAGTGTCCTCCTATCAGCACCGTATGACGTACGTCCCACGCACCTTAGGATGTTAAGAGATTTTAAACATTTGCCGCGGAGATTTCTGATGTGCTCACGGTATGTTAGGCGTCGGTCAAAGCGTATACCGAGAAATTTCGCGGTATTCTCATTGGCGACGCGTTGCCCATACAGCCTGATTTCCATATCAGGACAGTGACGGCGACGACGACAGAAATGAACTGCAGTTGTCTTCGATGTAGAAAACCGGAAACCGTTGAGCACACTCCACTTCTCCAGACGTGTGACAGCCAGCTGCAGCTGTCGCTCCATCGTGCGAGTGGTCGATGAGCTACACCAAATAGCAAAGTCGTCTACAAACAGAGAACGGCTGATCCCATGTGGAAGCGTGTCCCCTATGTCGTTTATCATCACTGCGAAAAGAATGACACTTAATACGCTGCCCTGAGGCACACCATTGTCCTGTGGATACCTGTCGGATTGATAAGAACCAACACGCACCCGAAAGAATCTGTCAGTCAGAAAGTTTTGTAAAAACTTTCCCATGTGACCACGGATGCCACAATCGAGTAACTTCATCATAATTCCATGTCTCCATGTGGTGTCATAAGCTTTTTCTATGTCAAAGAAGATGGCGCCGGTATGACGCTTGCTACTAAATCCGGCTCGCACTGCGGTATCAAGAGTTAAGATGTGGTCAATCGTGCTCCTGTTCTTACGGAATCCGCACTGAGCATTCGTGAAAAAGTTCTGGCGTTCTAAAGTCCACGAGAGCCGCACATTCACCATTCTTTCCATGAGCTTACAAAGCGAAGATGTGAGGGCGATCGGGCGGTAGTCAAGAGCGTTCGTCCCACTTTTCCCGGGCTTTAAAATAGGCACTACTATTGCCTCTCGCCAGATTGGCGGGAAGTTACCTGACACCCATATGCAGTTGAAAACTGCCAGCAACGCTCGTAGTACACGGGGAGGAAAATGCCGTATCATATCATTGTGGATGAGGTCGGGCCCCTCCGCTACACTACGCAGCGAGCGAATGGCCGCTTGAAGCTCCATCATAGTGAAATGTTTGTTGTACGTCAGGACGTCATCTGTACAAAAATTAACCTGCGAAGTTTCACATCGTGCCCTGTGCCGCAAAAACCGCGGATCGCAGGTGCCATTTCGGCAACGGTCTGACAGGGCTTCCCCAATGGCTTCTGCCACATCACTTGGGTGGGTGATGTCTTGACTTCCCACTCGCAGTACGGGAAGAGAAACTGCTGGATGCAGTCCAGCGATTCGCTTAATGCGGCCCCATACCTGTGACGTCGGCGTGTGGCGATTTAGTAAATTGACGTAGCTGCGCCATGATGCACGTTTCGCCTCTCGTATAGTGTGGCGTGCGGCCGCGCGTGCTTGCCTGAAAGCCAAGAGGTTTAATGTGCTGCTGTGCCTGTCAAAAGCCCTAAAAGCTCTCCGACGTGCACGAATAGCGTCGCGACACTCGTCGCTCCACCAAGGTACAGGGGTACGACGAGGGCATCCGGAGGTGCGCGGAATGCATCCTTTCGCCGCATCCAACACGAGAGACGTAAATTCCTCCGTAGTCGGAGTTGCAGAGTCGAAATCGTTGGAAAACGTTTCGTCCAGGCGAGTCTCAAATCCCCTCCAGTCCGCCTTCTTGAAATTCCAACGCTGAGGTCGAGTACCAAGAACAGTACCACCACGGTACCGAACCCAGACCGGAAAGTGGTCACTTCCAAGGGGGTCCTCTGAAGCATCCCAGGTGAAGTGTGGTACCAACTGCGGACTACAAATGCTCAGGTCTAGCACCGACGATTGTCCGGATGGCAATGTAAAATGCGTTCTTGATCCTGTATTTAAAACGCACAGACCTTCGTCACGCACGAGAGCCTCACATAGCCTCCCGCGAGTGTTCGTGGAAGCACACCCCCACACAGTGTGATGTGCATTAAAATCGCCTAAAACGAGTAGAGGGGGAGGGAGTTGAGAGACTAACTCTCGTAGTCCTCCAGATGGAAATGAAACCCCAGGTGGCAAGTAGAGAGAGCAGACAGTTATGGTGCGGCGGTTGAAATTCACCGTTGCTGCGACAGCCTGCAAGTCTGTTCTCAACACCAGACGCCGCGTAGGTACGCTTTGGTGTACAGCCAAAAGAACGCCACCGTAAGCAACGGTATCTGTTGGCATGTCAGTGCGGAAGGTAGTGTACCCTTTCAGGCTGAAGGCCGCATCAGGCGCCAACTTGGTCTCCTGGAGACACACGGCTACCGGGCAGTGCGCGCTTAAAACTGTCTGCAAGTCCTGGGTGCTTGACCTTACACCTCTACAGTTCCACTGTAAAACTGACTGAATGAGGAGGCTTTAAAAGCACTGTAAGGTTTTAAAAGAACTCAGCAGCGCTAGAGCCTGGCCCATGGTTGTGGGTTTTGTCGTCAGAACCCGAAGAGATCGGGCGGATCCTGGGTCGGATCCGGGGACTACCGCCATCTGTTGGCGAAATCGGCCCCGGCGGTCCACGCTTTTCCGGACGCCCCGTCCTAAACTGAGCCGGCGCCGGCGACGCCGTGGTCCTAGGCGGCGGTGGTGGTGGAGCACCCATAGACGGGTCTCTCCGCGAGTCGGAGGGGCCTGAGGGAGCTTCCACACGCTTTCGGGGAGGTGGGACTACCTCCCCCGTGGGAGCAGGCCCGGGGCCCGCACCCGACAGCCGACTGGCTGCCTTTGCCCTCTCCTGCTCCTGAAGGCGTGCACGCTTTGCCTCGCGCGCCCGTCTCTCCGCCTCTTGGCGCTCAAGGTTGTCCAGTTTCCGACCCATCG